AGACCAATAGTTACATCATATATGACGTATATGTGTGACGTATATACTGACGTCATTGTTATGACGTTCAAAATAACGTCAGATTTAGGTCATAATCACCAATTAGTGACAAAAATCACGTATATTTACGTCATTACAACGTCAGCTGGTTGCTTGGGGTAACTTGTTATTATATTCTTCAATTTCTTTTTATGGTTCAAGTTTTTATAAAATATAAATATACTAAATAATAAATACGAATTATTAACTACTAAATTCTCTTTTATAGTACAAATGTGAGTTTTTTAATGTGCAAAATTTGATCCCACTCCGATTCCCGACTTTCCTTATAACTTATAAGTAGTTAAGATATAGGGGTTCTGATGCAGGGGATCCGCAAAGTGAGGGGGAGAGGAGGAGGAAGGAAGAATTAATGGAGGTTTTTCTGAGAAAACTTGCAAAAGGAGGGGGAAGGAGGAGTCAATGGAAGCATATTCGTCATAATGAGAGCAGAATCTGAGGAGTTGGGTGTTGCGGATGAGATAACGTAGAAGTGTGGGTGATGTTGGCGGAGCGTTCTTATCGGCTTCACCAGAATTAGCCAATTATCGGCGAGCCGTAAAAATCGAGCGTGCAATATTTGACGTGTGTTCTATTTTATTTCAGATATCGGTGACGTCATTGGTTGCAATGTGTTCGAACTTGTTCGTGCGTGTTCAAGGTCGTTCGGTCGATGACGTCGTCGCATAAGATAGTAGTACTGTCCAATTAATTTTGTAATTGCGCAGTAAAAATAAAATTCGAGAACAAATGCACGAATGACGTCGTCGTTAAAAATAGAACTCGAACAGGTCCGAACGTGTCCAAGGTCGTTCGGGACGATGACGTTATCGCTAAAATATAAATTGCGCAGTAAAACAAAATAATTCCGAGAAAAACCGCAAATTTTCCGGAAGCGGTCGCGTTTAAAAATAAGTAGCGCGCAGTTTGCAATTGCGCAGCAAATAAATAAATAATTCCGAAAAAACCGCAATTTTTCGGAAATAAATAATTCCGAGAAAAACCGAAAATTTCCCGAAAGCGAGTTTACGTTTAAAAATAAATAGCGCGCAGTTTGTAATTGCGCGACAAACAAAGAAAATATTTTCGAGGAAAACCGCAATTTCCCGGAAGTGAGCCTGTTCTTATCGCCCTAAGCGATCAGAACTCAGCCGCTTCCGGTTTGATGACGCACTTCCCGCGATAACGCAAAACCGTTACAGTAGTTATAGTAAACAGGTTCTGGGCCAGGTTTCCAATAGGCGAGTCATGTGCTGTCCTTGTCTATCTAATGGTGTTTCGAGCAGATCGAGCATGCCTTACTGGAAACACTCCATATGATAGAAAGGGTCAGTCGACAACCAAGGGCACCGCGAGGGGGGAAGGGGAGGGGGGTGTAACCGCGCGAAGGAAGGGGAAAGGGACGGGTTAACCGCGTGAAGGAAAGGGAGGGGGAAGGAGTGGTTACGTGTTTTCAAGATCGTTTGGATGATGACGTCATTGCTAAAATATAAAGTGCGCATTAAAATAAATAATTCCAAGTAAAACCGCAAAGTTCCCGGAAGCGGTTCGCGTTTAAAAATAAATAGCGCGCAGTTTGAAATTGCGCAGCAAATAAATAAAAAATTCCGAGAAAACCCGCAATTTCCCGGAAGTGTGTCTTTACTTATCGCCGAAGCGATCAGTCACTTCCGGTTTGATGGTGTATAGATAAAAAAGTGTTGTTGTTGTTGTTGAATATGTATAACGGATTGAA